CCCTGTGACTCCATATTCTTGCTAACTTTGTTCACTATGAACCTCTTGATCTGCAGGTGAAAAATTGTACCACTGATCTGCATTTCATTAAATGAAAGTGAAATTGAAACATGTTTTCATGGAACTTATTTTGGTATAACTAGTTGCACCAGTTTCCTAGAGTTGCTGTAACAAATCACAACAAGCAAAGTGTCTTAAAGCAATGGGCATTGACTATCTCACAGTTCTGAAGGCTGGAAGTCCAAAGTGAAGGTTTTCAGCCAGCCATGCTCTCTCTGAAACCTGTAGAGGAGAAGTCCTTCCCCACTTCCTCCTAGCTTCCAGTGGTGACCCTCAGACCGTGGTGTTCTGTGGCTTGTAGCTGCATCTGCCTCTGTCATCGCAGGGCATCCCCCTGTCCATCTGTCTTCACAGGCCTTTTCCTCTTCTTGGAAGGACAGCAGTCATACTGGATTAGAGCCCATCCAGTGACCTCATCTTGATCACATCTGCAAAAGCCCCATTTCCAAATAAGGTCACCCTCTCAGCTACCAGGGCTGAGGACTTCAACGTACCTTCCTGGGGGAACACAATTCAAGCCATCACACTGATAATCTGGCTTTGTTTTTGTGTTTTTTTTCCCCCTAGGTGGCTAGCTCATTTTCTAACACTGTGGACATTCATGATCAGCGTTACTGCTGTTCTGAAATGTCACCGTTATCATGTACAGAACCCTTCAGGAGCACTCCTTACGTCACCTCCAGTACCTCCTCCTCCTCTCCTTTCCTTCTTCCTGCTTAATTTTGTTTTTCCATTTCCTTTTGCTTACATGTCTCCACCTCTTCTTGTCCCTGGCTTTTTGCAGCAGTGCCCATTCCTCTTTTTATATCTTTTAATATGACCTTCCTTTCTGTGGGTTTTTCTTTTCTTGCACTCTTTTGGTGTCTCTCCTTTAAAAATGATTTTTAAATATGAAAGCTCTTTTTAAAAATGATGTTCTCTTTGATCTCCTGGTTTATAGGGCTATATATTCTTTATACTCTGCTTTCATGCAGGAATTTTTTTTCATAGTTTTTCTCCTTTGTGATGAATTCTTACTTTCCTCGGGTATTCTTGATCTGCTTTTTGTCTGTCCCATTCTTTTCCTTTTAACATCTGATCAAGGGTGCCATTTCTGGCTCACTTTTTTTCTTTTTTATTCATCTATTTCTTATTTAAGTATTGTTGATTTACAGTGTTGTACTAATTTCTGCTGTACAGGGAAGTGACTCAGTTATGCACATACAGACATTCTTTTTTGGTTCACTTCAGATTATTGCCAACTTTGAATAGGTATGTTCCATTCTGGGTTTGTTAGTTGCTGAAAGTTAGTGTGCAGAAGGATCTGTAGATCTCCAAGTTTAGGACCTATTACTTCTAGACCCTTTCTCACCAACACTCTGCCTGGAAATGACAGGCAAATTGACCAACTAGCAAGCAGGTCCCATACATACATGTGAGACTTCTGGAAGACAAGTTAGCATTGCCTCTTTTCATTTATGAAGATCACCTGCCACAGAGCAATTGTACCTACTTTTTCATTTTCTCCTCAGCATTCTGACAGCCTACTTTTTTTTTCTGCAAAAATGTAATTTCCACTCCTGCCTTTATTTATCTCCACCTTGCAGCTCTTCAAAAGTGTCAAATGGGACCTCTTGTTTTGCAGCCACTTGCATCCCCAGACCCTGCCAAGCTTATCAAAAGATTGTTGGTTTGGGGACTTCCCTGGTGGTCTAGCGGTTAAGACTCTGTGCTTCCGCTGCAGCGGATGTGGCTTTTATCCCCGGTCAGGTAACTAAGGTCCTGCATGCTGCATGGTGCAGCCAAAAAAAAAAAAAAGTTTGGCCACTTGAGAGCCACAGCTGTTTCTGGAGGACTTGCTCCCATGACTGGACTTTGTAGAAGCACATGCTCACTCTTAGCAGGAAGCATGCCCCCTTCCACGAGGATCATTTTCTAATGCTTCACACCCTCTCATCATAGATTGTGTTTCTGAGTTGTGGCTAGTTTTCTGTTTTCTCCTAGATAAAGTTTTCTTTTCTGGTTTTGTCTTGTTGATTTTTCAGAGGGTAGAGTTGAACTAAGATATCGTTACTCCAGCCTCCTTAAATGGGCATGCCTCAGGTCAGCAGTCCCTGACCTTTTTGGCACCAGGGAGCAGTTTTGTGGAAGACAGTTTTTTCATGGACGGGAGTTGGGGTTTGCTTTCAGGATTATTCAAGCCCATTACATTTATTGTACACTTTATTTCAGTTATTATTATATCAGCTCTAGCTCAGATCATCAGGCATTAGATCCCAGAGGTGGGGGACCCCTGTCTTAGGTGATGTTTGAAGTTGATACTGGATTCAACCCTGGAGAACTTGGGTGTTTAGAGATCATGAGGAAAGAGGAGCCAGCAAAGGAAACTGAGGATGAAACCCCAAGAATGCATAGAAGCCAGGAAGGAATGTAGGGAGGAAACAGGAGTCAGTGTCAGATGCTTCTGAGAAGCCAGTATGAGGAGGACCATCAGCCAGCGGATTTAGCTGTTTCATTGGGTACTTAACTTTGGGAGGGCTTCCCTGGCGGCCCAGATGGTAAAGCGTCTGCCTGCAATGTGGGAGACCCGGGTTCGATCCTTGGGTTGGGAAGATCCCCTGGAAAAGGAAATGGCAGCCCACTCCAGCACTCTTGCCTGGAAAATCCCATGGATGGAGGAGCCTGGCAGGCTCATGCCGTTGCAAAAAGTCGGACATGACTGAGCAACTTCACTTTTCACTTAACTTTGGGAAGTTGATCAAGGTTTACTGAAGTGCTAGAAAGGAACCCAAATTGAAGGTGTTGAGAAGGTAATGGAAGACAAAAAAATGGCAGGTTTAGGCGCAGGTGAACTCCTGTCCTGAGAAGTATGAACATTATTTTTAGCAACTTAAGGTTTCCTTCGCATTGAAAAGGGAAAGAAAACAGGCCAGTTGATGTGGTTAAGCATCACATATTTGAAAACATATGTTCTCATGAAATAAATAGTATTTATTCATGAATAAAAATTTTATTAAATGCACAGTAGGCTAAGTGCCTATTTTATTAAGTGCGCAGGGAATTTTCCTCCTGATGATAATTAATAGTTTAAGAAGTCAATCAAGGGTGACCCTGAATTCTGTTAGTGGGCGAGCTTTTAAGTCTATGGGAGTGCATTTTGGAATCTCATCATCCAAAATAAATTCCTGTTTCTCTTCCACCCGTGTCACAGGTTAAATATATTTTTGTCTCTCATACTCAATGTATGTTCAAATTCGGCCCACTATCCCTTTTAAACAACTTGAATTTCTCTTTCCCTCATTTCTACTGTTGTTCCTTTCGTTGAGACGTAGCCTCATTGATCTCTTTAGCTAGAAGTCTTCACCTTTTTCCTGGTTTCCAATCACCTTCAATTTAGATTTCCTCAACCTAGGTTTCAAAGCCTTTTGTTACAGAAAATAACCTGAATGTCCATCAGTGGATAAGTAGATGAATATGTGGTACAATGGAATACTGAAGAAGGAAATCTTGCAGTTTGTGAAATGAGGGCATTATGCTAAGTGAAGTAAGTCAGAGAGAAAAAACAAATACCATGCTATCCCATTTATATGTGGAATCTTAAAAAAAAAAAGAAAACAAAACCACAAAACCCAAGTTCATAGATAGAGAAAGCAGATTGGTGATTGCCGGAGATGGGGGTTGGGGTGGGGGATAGGAAATGGGTGAAGGGAGTCAAAAGGTACAAGCTTCAAGTCATAAAATAAGTAAGTCATGGGAATATAATGGACAGCATGGTGACTATTGCTAATAATACTGTGTTGCATATTTGAAAATTGCTAAGAGAGTAGATCTTAAAAATTCTCATCAGAAGAAAGTAGTGACGTATAGGGACAGATTTTAGCTAGACTTACTGTGTTGACTGTTTCACAGTATATACAGATATTGAACCGTTATGTTGTATACCTGAAACAAAGATAATGTTGTATGTCAATTATACCTCAATTTTTTTTTAAAAGCCTATCATATCATATCAAATCTGACTCCTTCCTACTTTTTCAGTTGTTCTCTGACATTGTCTGATACAAGTCTTCTGCTCTGGCGAGGCCAACCTCCTTCCCATACTTCTAATCTTGCCACACGGTTCTGTCTTCTTGCTTAAGTTCATGTTCACAATGAGCACTTCATTATCTCTAGTGTTGTTTTGTGTGGGTTCCCCACCCCAGTGGTGGTATATACACCGGCCGTCCGTGTCCGATCTGAGAGAGCTACATACATCTTGACTTCTTGTTATAGGTAATCTTTTGTACAAGCACATGCAAATTAACAAGGCTATGTTTTTCTTTAAAAAAAAAAGTTTAAAGAGGTCTATATTTTTTAAAATGTTTCAGAATTCATGTACAAGACATCACCTTGCTATTCATTAATTCAAAAGCTTAGTACCTCTTTGTTTCATTCAGAAGACAGTGAAAGTACCTGGCCCATTCAATAAATATTTTAAATATATTCCTTTAAAAATTGTTTTAAATATCAATTGCTGTTAAGCTGTTTTTACTACTTGGGAAGTTTCAAAGGGGGGAAGAATCTGAACAGAACAAAGACCATATCATCCTAGAGTCGGAGATAGGGTACCATGAATGGCTTCCTGAAGGAGCTGATGCTTGGACTTTTGAAGGAGTAGGAATCTGCCAAGCATATGATGGAAAGAGACAAGTGGAGAAAGGTATTTAGGCAGAATGGACCCCTATTCCGTGGACTATACCCATGGGGTCACAAAGAGTCAGACCCAGCTGAGCGACTTTCAGTCACTCACTCACTCCCTGTTCTTTATTCCTTTTTTAATCCCCAGGGTCAGGCCCAGCGCCTGGCACAAAGTAGATATTTGAATAATGAATTATAAAATTTCTGAAACGTGAAGTATTTCAGATAGGCTGAATGAATGATAAAAGTTTATCATCAAAGGTTTGCACACAGAGATCGTAGAAATGCCCTTCCTTGGTCTCTCTAAAGAGATGGTGTCAAGCATTTGTCATCGAGGATCATTACTGCCTTTCCTCCTGGAGACAATCAGAGAGGTGAGGATTACCTAAGTGCTGGCGGACTTCACACCCTGCGGCTCTCCAGAGCAAGTGGAAATCTTGGGTTGGCGTTAAGGTGTATGTTGGCACCATCTAGTGGTGGTTTTAATACCTGGCCAAATTGAAAGTTTCATCATTCATAACCAAACTCTTGCTGAAGCATTGTATTGTATATTGTATCTTGTTCAGCCTTTGCCACTGTCTTCAACTTCATAGCTAACATTGGAAGTTTTATATATTGCATTTTACAAAGATGCTCAAAAGTTTTAATAAACAAGACATTCTGTTTGAAATAAAATGGAATTTCAGAGGAAGCGCGGGGTTGGACAAACCTAGAATCTTAGAACATTCTAATCTCATATGTTATTTGCTGTCTCTTAGTCACAGAGTTCCAGACTCATGAGGTAATATTTTTTTCTAACATCCTCCTCCTCCTCTGTGTTTTTTTCTGTTTGGACAGTGTTTTTTAAACTAAAGAATTTTGTCCTTTGAGTTCTTATCTTTGAAGAAAGCTGTTGAGTGTGTCCTTCAAACATACAGGTTAAACCAGAAAGGCTTGAGCGGTGAATCTTAGCTGCTTCTTGCTTTTGTGGGTCTTTGAGTATGAGTTATATGGACATGTTCCTCGTGACTTATGTTGATTGACAGCCGAGGCAGGGAATCAGATTATGATCACTGCATTAATCCCTCGTGTGGAGGGATGGCTGTGCTTCTAGTAGCAATGTTAATAAAATAAAAGCATTTATTACAAATCTCCTTCATGCAGAACATAATTGGATGCATAAGATTAATTGCCTTTCTTTTTTTTTAAGTACTTACTCAATGCTAGAGGGAGAGAAGGATATAATTATCACCATTTTATAGGTGAAGGAGCTGAAACTTGTGGAGGTTAAGCAGCTTTCACAGTCTCTCGGCTCTTAAATTTCAACGTGACCCTTTGGACCCAGGTATCAAGGACTCCGGGGTTGGTGCATTCAGCTACCATGGAAACTTTCTGTCCAACAATGAGAAGAATGCATAGGGAAACCACAGGAGAAAAATGCACAGAAAACCTCAAAGTGGCCAATAACTCTCATTTAAGCATACAACGACTTGATAAAAATCATGGTATTAATTTATTGCTGACATTATCAGCATGTTTGTTTCCACTCCTAATTATAGCCGACAGCCTTCATTCCAGTGCAGAGGGAGTTTACGGGTCTTGCCCTCTGGTCTCTGGTTAGGCTTTGTTATTGCTCTGATGCACTTCCTCGACAGCAGGAGTGCTCAGAGACCCAGCCCCTGTCCGTGGACCAGCGTCCTTCCGTGTTGGCACTCCCTTCTTCCAGCTCTTGGACGTGAGCTCTGTCTGCGTGTGCCTCTTAGCAGGTGGAGTATGTCGTGCCAACCACTTGTGTAGAAATGTCCATTGGGTGTTGGCCTTATATGTGTTTATAAGTATGAATTAATGTGTCAGTGGTAAATAAATACGGGTTTTCTAAACTTTATGTTGAATTTTTTTCTTTGCGGATATAGATGCATGATTTTTCACAGTTGGAGTCATATCATTTGTGCTGGGGGTTTTTTTTTACTCTTTTTTTCTTTTCTTAGCTCCTCTGGCTTTCTTCCAGCTGCCCACATGACCTTCCTCCTCATCACCCTACTATATGTTTTTAAAAATACGTAAGACATAACCTGATGCAGCCTTTCATATTTTTCCAGGCTCATGTAATCATTTACAAAATATATTTATGTACAGTTATTATATGGGCTTCCCAGGTGGCACTAGTGGTAAAGAACTCACCTGCCAATGCAGGAGACATTAAGAGATGCAGGTTTGATCCCTGGGTTGGGAAGATCCCCTGGAGGAGGGCATGGCAACCCACTCCAGTATTCTTGCCTGGAGAATCCCATGGACAGAGGAGCCTGGCTGGGTACAGTCCATAGGGTCACACACAGTTGGACATGACTGAAGTCCATGCACACACAGTTAGGTACCTGTCACGTACATATACAGAGTGGATTTTTAGCCTCTTATATGTGTGAGTGGTGGGATCATGTTATACTTTTTAAAATATACATACTTTTTCAATCTGGAGATCTATTCCTGGAGATCTGTTTCACAGAAATGAAAGCACTGATTTGTAAGATTATGTGCCGAGAGTATTTTCTACAATATTGCTCATGATAGCAGGAAGAAAGTGGAGTGATCAAATAAATAAGTATATATCTACACCATGGAATTTTAGGCAGTCATTTTTTAAAAAGTGGATGTGATTTATGCCAGAAATGTCTCCTCTATTGTTCTTTCTGGTATGGATGTTACTGTTTTTATTCCTTTACTAACATTTTTGTGGGGTTTCAAGAGGGAGAAGAAATAAATATATTTGGACAATTTTCTTTACAACTGAAGATCGGGCTAAATGGGTTTCAAGACCTGCTTAATTTCTGTATCTTTTCCTCCTAGAGCTCTTATATTATCCCAGCCATTTTTATTTCTTCTCCTTCTTACCCCTTTGTATTATAGAAATTAGAAAATCTCCAGCCTCCGGTATTAAATTCTTCCTTCTCTCTTGGCTGATAACTCCCACTGGTCTTTTCTACCAGCAGCAGCCGCAGGACCACACAGCCTCAAGCATTGACTCCAGAAGTAAACTCAGAATCGTGAAGTGTCAGTTCTCAAGTTGCTCCTAGGATATTTGGATTTTCTTGGAAATAAGAGACTTGTAGGAAAGAAACAGCATTTCTCCTTAACCATACCTGGGCTTCCCTGGTGGCTCCGTGGTAAAGACTCTGCCTGCCACTGCAGGAGACACGGGTTCAATCCCAGGTAGGGAAGGTTCCCTGAAGAAGGAAATGGTCACTCACTCCAGTATCCTTGCCTGGGAAATCCCATGGACAGAGGAGCCTGGCGGGCTACAGTCCATGGGGTGGCAAAGAGTCAAACACAACTTAGTGACTAAACAACAATAACCACATCCATGTCTTCCTTTCTCCCACTCGTGTGCAGATTTGAAAAAGGACGCATCTACACATTCATTGGAGAAGTCGTCGTCTCTGTGAATCCCTACAAGTCGTTGAACATCTATGGGAGAGACACGATCGAGCAGTACAAAGGCCGTGAGCTGTACGAGAGACCCCCGCATCTTTTTGCCATTGCTGATGCTGCTTACAAGGCTATGAAGAGGCGATCGAAAGACACTTGCATTGTGATATCAGGTATTTAAGGAGAGCCCTGTGCTTCCAAAGTCAACATGTATTAATTTATTTGGGTACTCAAATGTCCAAATGATTAACTAGATGTTCTTTGAAGTTAGAAGCTTAAATAATTTTACAGGAGAAAAAAATGTAACCAACATTAAATGCCAGATCATCTCTGTCATTTCTGACCATCCACTAGTCTCAGTTCATTTACACGTTATATATTATGTTCAGAAGGACTGCTGGTCAATTTTGTAGACTGAGCTGACATGGCAAATTCGTCCTCTCATCTCAGAGGCATAGAACTACTGGATAAAAATGTAACAAAGTTTATTTTAGATGATCAGAGAATGAAACCAGGAAGACATCCTAAGGTCCCATCAAAAAGGAAGAATGAACTCCAAGTCAGACTAGTGAACAGGATGGATCTGGCGTCAAGGGACTCATGGAGGCGGGGGGGCTGGAAATGGCCTCAACGTTGGGGGCTGGAGCTATAAAAGCCTGCAGGAGGGTCAACAGGTGCCAGACCCTGGGTGCCCAAGAGCAGGCGCCGAGCTCTCTTGTGTAAAACCAAGCACTTCAAGGAGTCGTGTGTAGTGAGTCGGAAACAAGAAAATACCTGCCTGATGGCCCAGGGTGGCCTCTCCCAAACTGTGGGACTTCCCCTCAAGGCTCATAACACCTCATATTCTCATGAGTGGCTTTTATACTTTAAAAACCCTTTTTCGATCTTTATTCCATTTTGGTTGTCAGCTCTGCTCTCTGATCAGAATGTAGGACAGTTGTGTTTCTGCTTCATGGATGAGAGTATTGAGGGTCAGAGAAGCAAGGCAACTTAGTGTTGGTGCTGGGGAGTTATATTCTAGGACAGCCTTTATTAAAACAAAATTTGAAGGCAATATTGCCTGATTCTAAAAGGGGGCAGGAGGGAGGCAGTTTTATAAGTGAAAGCAGAAAGTCTCTTTCCCTCGAATCCCTTGTTCTTCCCAAAATTCTCACAATAACTCCTGTGAACAGTAAAGTGTTTATCCTTTTTTTTTTTTGCTTCACCGCACAGCATGTGCGATCTTAGTTTCCTGACCAGGGATCAAGCCCATGCCCCTTGCATTGGAAAGGTAGAGTCTTTAACCACTGGATCTCCAGGGAAGTCCCAAAAGCATTTATCCTTTAATAAATTTTCTCTCTGTGTACAAATACATATAGTCACACTTGCATATTAATTATATATTATAGAATTATGTTATAACTTGTTTTTCCATTTAACAATGTATAGTGGATATCTTTTCACTGGAATACCTACAGAAGTAGTGCAGTCTCTAACAATTGTGTAGGATGACGTTGAATAGTTGAATTATAATTTATTTACCCAATCCTCTACTAATGGGCATATTACTTTCAGATTTTAGCCATAATACATAGAATAGCCTGCAGAAATAGCCTTAAAACCTTTGAAGATTATCATTTGATTATATTCATATTTTTAGTATTTCTAGAGTATAAATTTCTGCACGTGGAGTTTTGGGTCACAAGGGATAAACATTTAAAGATCTGGGCAGAAAGCAATCTTGAGAAAGGAGAAGGGAACTGGAGGAATCAACCTGCCTGACTTCAGGCTCTACTACAAAGCCACAGTCATCAAGACAGTATGGTACTGGCACAAAGACAGAAATATAGATCAATGGAACAGAATAGAAAGCCCAGAGATAAATCCACGAACCTATGGTCACCTTATCTT